CAAAAAACCCACCCAAAAAAAAAAAATTCAAAAAAAAAAAGAACCAAAAAAAAAAAAAAAAAAAAAAAAGAAGAACTCAGATCAGGTACAGATATCAAATAAATATAATCCACAGCATATACTAATTATGTGCTTGGACAAACCAAGAAATTACTTGTAAATGGTCATTTTTATAACCCTCAAACCTACGATCGAGTTGTCACTATCTATCTATACAATGTTAGATGTTAGTACTCTTCTTAAGATGATGAAGCGCAACAAAACCTATGTTGTGCGTGTACTAAGGAAATAAATATATATCAAGCACATGGGCAAGCTCTAAAAAGTGGGTTTCCATCTTTTTCATTTGATAAGATCTGATCAGGACCCTCACTGATTGACTTATGATCTGGTGATGTATTTAAACTTGTCGTATATGCATCCCTACACAGGCTGTTGCCAACGTTGTGATTTGATGTGATAAGGAGAGGACGCAAACCATGCATGGCAGAAGTACATGATTTGTCTCTTATTAATCAGTCGAAGCACGTTTTAGTTTGTGCAACACTGTAGAACACATTATATAGAGCATTACTCACATAGAAAAAGATTAAACATCATAGGCCAAGTCAAGTTGGTCTTCTAAGATGTCTCTATGAGTAATATTGTGTATTTCTGAACGTCACGAGAGTGAAAATTTGATTCAAAAATTGCATCAAACCGGTAGATACAATCCTCCCAATTTGTTCTGCTTATCGCAGCCAACTTTTTGTTTTACAACACAAACATAAACAGCGAGGAAGAAGCAGTCAATATTCAATCAAGGAGGTCTTTTGTTGGATATTCAGCAGCTGCGGTTTCCAGTAATATATTATGTTGGAAGTAACTGTATTTAAATGGTTAAAGACGTTGCTTAACTAACATTTCTTCTTTTTTATTTTTTATTTTTTTTATAATGAGACAGAAACAAAAACAGTTGAACATTAGTAGGATGACAATAACAATTGACACGACAACCTTAAATTGAGTTGTTCTATTGTCATAAATTCGTCTACAATTATTGTACGTATAAGGCACTGAATCCCATAACGCAAAAGACAAAACGTACAGATTTAATTCCCTCCCATCCATAATCAATTTCCTATGTTTTTAATTTGAACCCCCAAAAAAAAAAAAAAAAAAAAAAAAACAGAGGGATTAAATTTATTGCTTCACCTGGAGATTAACGAAAGGAATTACTTACAGAGAGAAAGAGCTAACAGAAAAGAGAGGGAAGGCAGATGTCGGTGATTACTGACAGGAGAGTTGCCCCAACGGTGATTACTAAGAATATAGTTATGGGAGATGTTTGATAGTAGATGTCAGTGATTACTAATATAGTTATTTAATTAAAACAAATTTAATCAAGTAATTGATAAAAATTTAGATTTATATATTTTAAGAGATATATTTTTTTTTTCATTTAAAGAAAATGAGACATATAATTTTTTAAATTACGCGAGTCTTTATTTTTATCTCTTATTATTAATTATACCATTTTTAATCAAATATTATATTAATAAAAATGATATCATGCACTTCTAAAAGTATCAATAATATTCTCTATATTAAAGTAACTTCAACCATGCAATGAATTCTTCTTTTCTTTTTTGCTGGCACTTATGGTTATGAGTATGATATCCCCCAAAAGCAGCCATTATGTTAATAAATTTTAATTTAAATATTGAGTTAAAAGAGTAAAGAAGGTACACAAAAATAACGAGTCTTTATTAATGGACTTATACCCCCCGTTTTCTTCTTCTATTTCCTGACCCGGAAAAAATTACGCCGTATTAATACATAAATATATTTATTTATTTCATTAAATGTAATGTACTTATTTTGGATTTATCTGTCGTCGACCACTGCTTCGGCCATCCCAGATGCCACTTCTTTCTGTCTTTTCAAGTTTCCATAAAAGAATAAAAGGACAAAATAATGAATTTGATTAAAAAGTTGAGGCCCGTTCACTTCGTTAATTTGAGTTTAGAATTTGAGTTGAAATATGATTTTATGTGAGAGTTTTTTACTGTAGTAAAAAAATTAGATGTGATTGTTTGTAAGAGCTTTTTACTGTAGAAAAACTCAAATTCTAAACTCGAATCAGCGAAATGAACGGGTCCTGCTAACCAATTTCCACTCAAGGACCACAATATTTCATTATTTCATAATATAATAGCAGGAAGAAATAGAAAAGAAAATATACGAAGAACATCATCTTATCTTATCTGATGTTTTCCATTAGCACATACACTTATAAGATAACCCAGGTCAAACATACATATCTGAACTCGGTCTTCAAATCAAGGACACCATTTTTGAAGACTACTACATTGTCTTGTCTTGTCTAAACGTTTAACAAGCCTTTATTTGCATGGCGGCAATGGAGCGCCACACAGACCATCATTCCCTACAAACGAACTCACTGGAACCTTGGTCGCCGACGCCGGAATCGCCCCATGCAGATGATTATAACTCACGTTCAATCTATCAAGCGCAGAAACAGCCTTCGGCACCTTCCCAAACACCAGATTTCTCGACAAATCCAACTCCTTTAGCGTATTCACAATCCTCAAACTCTCCAAATTAAACCTTAATTTGTTGCCCGAAGCCTTGAAACTCACCAAGTAATCCATTCTGTTCAGCAATGTGACCGGACTTCCGCAGATCTTGTTCTCTGAGAGGTCGATTATTTCGTAGAAGTACGTCTCCGATGGGTTGAAATGATCTAATCGTATCTTGAGTCCGCACTTGGCCAGCTTTAGCGAGAATATGATCGGCGAAGAGATCACCCATTTGGGGATTTTGTTGAGATGGAACTTGTTGTAGGATAGATCTAGCGATTCGATGCCTTTCACATTCAATTCTGGAAATGGATCGACGAGATTGTTGTGAGCGAGGTCGAGGTTGAAGATCTTCGTCAGGTTGGCGAAGGATTTCGGGACGGTTCCGGATAAGTTATTGTGTGCGAGAATGAGAGCGTCTAGGGCTTTGAATTTTCCGAGAAAATCAGGGATTTTCCCAGTGAGGAGGTTGTGCCCTAGGTCGAGAAAGGCTAAATTGGGAGCAAGGGGTTCAATGGAGGTAGGGATTTCTCCGGTGAATTTGTTGTGTTGCAGTCTGAGGATTCGAAGGTTCGAGAAAGTTCTGAAGAAGTTCGGTATGGGACCGGAAAGTTTATTCCCGTCTAAACTGAGGAGAGTGAGCTTATGTAGGTGTTGGATTCCGGCTGGTACGGTTCCGGTGAGGAGATTCCCAGCGAGGTTAAGTTGAGTCAACTGAGTTAACTTTGATATCGAACTCGGGATTGGCCCGGTAAAGCGATTCCTGGCTAGGCTTAGCGCGCGAAGCCGGGTTAAATTCCCAATGGATTTGGGGATTGGACCCGACAACTTGCAGCCCTCTATGTAGACGTATTTGATGTTGGGTAACACGAAAAGAATATCCGGGAAAGGACCCGTGAGGTGATGGAGGTCCCTGAAGTAGATCCCTTCTAAGAATTTGACCTTAGTTAGAGAGGATGATATTACACCGGATAATGATTTGTTGGGCTTGCCCGGTCCGGGATGGCCCGAGATAGATATACTTGTGACTCGGGTACCGTCCCGGCATATGATACCGTGCCATGTGCAACAATTGGTGCCCCGCTTCCACGAGGCAATCAACCCGGATGGGTCTGCGGTGATGGCTGATTTGAAACCGAGCAAACCCGACTCATCATCCACGTGGCAGGCCGCTGATTCGGCTTTTGGGCACAACTGGGTGAGTGTAATGAGGAGGAAGAGGAGGAGGAGACGACGTTGATGAAAGAGTGAGTGGTCTCTCATTTGTTTTTTTGCTGGTTTTGGATGTTGGAATGGCAAATGAGTATGGGGGAATAAATACACAACATTACTTGTTGGGTTCAGGATTTTTTTTTTTTTTTTTGATAATTGTTTAGCACCTGAATTTGAGGTGGAATAAATTGCAAGGGTGTAATAATTTGAAGGGCGCGCGCCACATTCAGCTTTCATGCAAATTATATATTAGAAATAACATAGGACATACAAATATAATAGAATTTGATGAAAGGAAGAACGAAATAAAGAACATGGAATTAATTTGATAGTATATATTCGTTTCCATATTCTAATTTCATTATTATATTATATTTTTTGAAAATCAACTTGACATCTGCGAGAGAGGAAGGAAGACACAAGAAATCAACAAGTTGCAAGTTACAATTAATGAATTGGTGACAAAGTGATCACATGACCAATTTATGATCACATGGTGGGGCGGGTCAAGCCCGTCGGATTAGCGTATCATAGTAAAAACAAAGCACGTAAAATTAGATCTGCCACCACCAACCTAAACCAATGTTTCTTTTCGTTGCCACATAAGTAGCTAGCCTATATTACATTAATGACTATTAAATATTTATCGTATTAAAGAGAACAAAACAGGTGCACGTATATATATATATATATATATATGATCTTTCTCATGCATGCAAGTGGATTAGCTCGTTAAAGTTAAATATTGTCATTTTCTATTCCATTTTATCAAAAAAGTTGAAAATTACGTTCTACCATTGCTCACATTTGCTTGAATTACAGCCACAGAGATAAGCCCTTACAAGCTCGCTCATCAAGCTGATATTTTGAAAACTCTTTTGGTACATTAATGACTATTAAATATTTATCGTATTAAAGAGAACAAAACAGGTGCACGTATATATATATATATATATATGATCTTTCTCATGCATGCAAGTGGATTAGCTCGTTAAAGTTAAATATTGTCATTTTCTATTCCATTTTATCAAAAAAGTTGAAAATTACGTTCTACCATTGCTCACATTTGCTTGAATTACAGCCACAGAGATAAGCCCTTACAAGCTCGCTCATCAAGCTGATATTTTGAAAACTCTTTTGGTAGCACCAAGCAATCAATGCGCGAGGACCTTTAATAATAATTATGAGTGCTTTTCCTTTTTTATTTATTTATTTTTTAGTGTGGACATTTATGAATATTGTTGCTAATTCATTTATGTTGGAATTGGATTACATAGTAATGATATACTGAATTATTGTGGAATCATTGCTTAATAGAGAAGTTAAACCATCTCCAATGTAAATACTAATTTCAATTGTATATTTAACATCAAAAAGTATGATATGATATGTTATTCTCATTTGTATTCCAATGTATAATGCTATTTGAAATGCTAATTTACTTTTTCTCATGATCATTAAGCTTTAGAAATTGTAAAAGTAAACTTTTATTTTAAAATAAGAACCTGGTTGTAGTCTCCCACTTTAATTATAAATGATGGGATATAACCCCTATGTGTCACCGTGACGCAATTCTCTTGTATTAATGAGTTGTAACAGTTATTATTTTGGGAATCAAAAGTCATTTTTAAGCAAATGGCAATAAACGACTATCGTTTATTGATGTGCCTTTCAATGTTATTCATATAATTGTTCATGACATATGTGCATAACTGCCGTTTATTACCATATGCTCAAAAATGACTTCTAGTTCTCAAAATAGTAACTATTACTACTCAATATAAAAAAATTACGTCAGTCCTTCAGCCGGTTATAATGAGGGAAATCTCCACCGCAAAAGTGTTGTTCATCAATAAAAAATGCCTTAAAATAATTAGAAAAAGGTAAAAGATTTATGTCAGTCGTCCAACCGGTTACGATGAGGGAAATCTCTCCCATAAAAGTGTTGTTGGTCGACAGAAATGCCTTAAAATAATTAGAAAATACAAAAATTGCAATGATTATATTAAAAAATAAACATTTTCAACTAATAGCGATGAAATGTCAAATTTGTTATATGTTATATTTGGTAAAAAATTTGTCACAAAATATAGTATATGACAAATTTAGTATAGTAAATAGTATTATACTAGAGAGTTTTTTTATACTCAAATGTTAAATTTACATTTAGCACATCAATTATAGTATTGTATTAGAGATGCTTTTGTTATGTTATATTGGTTATTTAAGAAGAAAAAAAGGGAAAAAATGTAAAAACTCTATTGGTTAATTTTGAGAAATTAATTGGCAATACCGCGACGTTTTTATGTTTTCGTATTTATGTTTTCGTATTTATGTATAACAATTTTTTGGTGACTGAGAGACCTTTAACTAGTCAATTTTTCCTAATTCTCACCCCACATGAAGAGAAGGGGTTAAAACATCAATATCCATAATATAAATCCCAAGGTGGCGTTTTTCAAAGTTTCTCCTAATTCTCACCCCACGTGAAGAGAAAAAAGATGGGCTAAAACTTCAATATCCATAATATAAATCCGAAGGTGACGTTTTTTGGTGTGGTTTTCCAAAGTTTCTCATTCTCACCCCCTCATAAAGAGAAAAAGGATGGGCTAAAAAATGTTGGTAATTGATTATTGCGCTGTCTTACAATGGGCTTTATCGGGTAAGTGTGGTTCTAACCCATAGGGCCAAGCGGCCCAACAAAAACCAAACAAGTACGAAAAATCTGACTCTTTATTAATACCCTTTAGCTAATATAATTATATTTGACAAATTTTTTTTTTAATCAAAAATTCAAATTCATATACTTTGTGAGATATTTGTTTCCTTTTTTCATTTAAAGAAAATGAGACAAATGCATTTTTGAATTGCATAAGTCTTTATTTTTACTGCTTACTATTGATTATACTTTTTTAATCAAATATTATATTAATAAAAAGGATATAAATTAAGAGTAATGGGTTACAAAAATCTAAGCTCACACTTTTAAAAATAAATTCAATAATTTTCTCTATATTAAAATAACTCCAATTATGCTAGCCATTTCATGTTTTTAGTTATAATAACTAATGATTGAGTTTTTTTTTTTCTCTACTCCTACTGTTAGTTAAATGATTAGTTATTTTAGATAATATATTTCACACTATCTAAATATAACTAACAACAAGTGGCTAGCCATTTGTTTTTCCTATTATTTTATTCTTCAAACCACAATAAATGCAAAGGTTATTTTTTAAAATAACTAAAGTTACTTATATTTTAATTTAATAAATATTAAAATAATCTATGTTTATCTAAAATAGAGAGTACGGTTAGAGTGGCTCATTAAAAAATTGATGGCTAAAATAAATTTATAACTATTTTAGCTAAAATTTTAAAAGCTCATTCGGAGATGCTCTTATATATTTAAAAATAGTATTCATCTTGATGAGTTAAAACTCCACTCACAAAAATCCTACTAAGTTGGGACCGACCTATTTACCTAACGGGACCACTTCATTAACTTCGTTAGGATAAACAAGGGTGCTATTTGATATCTCTATTGTCATCATACCTAGTTGGCCCACCATGTAATTGAGTCATCCCACCTATTCAAATTAATGAAAAATGCTTGGACACCGGTAATATTAAGCACTATCATTAATAAAATGTGAGCTCCAGTACTTGTGAATTTCATATAACCGTTGGTGTCAATTTATCATTTTTCATATCAATTGATGTCTAAAATTTAGAGATGATTTATTAAAACCTTAAAAAAGAAAAAGAAAAGGAATACAATCAATCCAGAGTAACAATTAGAAAAATCAATTCCAAAAGGATATATGGTTATTTTAGAGATGATTATGTTACATAGAAAAATTTCATACCTTAAGTTAAAATTTAGCAAAACTTTTAAAATATTATAAATATAACAACAATATTATAGTCATGATCATAATGATGCCACATTTTGTATCATATAATAATAATTCTAATGATATTAAATTTTATTATTATTGTAATATTTAAAAAAAAAATTATATGTAAACTTTACTATTTAAATTTTGCTATATGTGTAAAAAGCTTTTTTCTTATGGCACTTCCAAGTCTTCATCGATTTTAAGTATTATAAGATATTTCTATTAAATTTAATTATTTTTAATCTCTATTCGCAAATTAATTATATGTAATTTAATGAAAGAAAATACACATTTATTAGATGACAACTACAACTTGGAGTTTTACAAAGCGAATTACATGAGGTACCGCAAAATATTTTCTACCATGTACTTGAAATTTAGAATTTTTTGACCTCATGACTATTTTTGTAAAAATTTATTAGTGGTAGAGCTGTCTTGGTTCATGCAAATGGATAAATGAAGGTAAAAACTCGCTGTATTCTAATTTTGTTTAATTCACATCTCAGTTGAAAAACATTCATGCTTCCATAAATATATTATTACACAATAGACACGCAACTATTTCCGTTAAATTTAAAAGTGCATAATCACGTTTAATAGTTGAGTATTAGAGTTAGAACTACATATATATATAAAAATATATATATATATATATATAAAGACGGCGTGGAGGGGTTTATCGATTCCCTTTTTCTTCTTCTATTTCCTGACCCGGAAAAAACTGCACCGTTTAAATACACAAATATATTTATTTATTTCATTAAATGTAATATATTTATTTTGGATTTATCCGTCGTCGACCACTGCTTCGGCCATCCCAGATGCCACTTCTCTCTCTCTTCTCAAGCTTCCATAAAAGAATAAAAGGACAAAACAATGAATTTGATTAAAAAGTTGGTAACCAATTTCCACTAAAGGGACCACAATATTTCATTATTTCATAATATAATAGCAGGAAGAAATAGAAAATAAAATATACTAAGAACATCATCTTATCTTATCTTATGTGTTCCATTAGCACGTACACTTATAAGATAACCCAGGTCGAATATACATATCTCTGAACTCGGTCTGCAAATCAAGGACACTATTTTTGAAGACTTACTACATTGTCTTGTCTTGTCTAAACGCTTAATAAGCCTTTACATGGCGGCAATGGAGCGCCACACAGACCATCATTCCCTACAAACGAACTCGCCGGAAACTTGGTCGCCGACGCCGGAATCGCACCATGCAGATGATTATAACTCACGTTCAATCTATCAAGCGCAGAAACAGCCTTCGGCACCTTCCCAAACACCAGATTTCTCGACAAATCCAACTCCTTTAGCGTATTCACAATCCTCAAACTCTCCAAATTAAACCTTAATTTGTTGCCTGAAGCCTTGAAACTCACCAAGTAATCCGTTCTGTTCAGCAATGTGACCGGACTTCCGGAGATCTCGTTCTCCGAGAGGTCGATAATGTCGTAGAAGTACGTCTCCGATGGGTTGAAATCCTCGAATCGTATCTTGAGTCCGCACTTGGCCAGCTTTAGCGAGAATATGATCGGCGAAGAGATCACCCATTTGGGGATTTTGTTGAGATGGAACTTGTTGTAGGATAGATCTAGAGATTCGATGCCTTTCACTTTCAATTCTGGAAATGGATCGACGAGATTGTTGTGGGAGAGATCGAGGTTGAAGATCTTCGTCAGGTTAGCGAAGGATTGCGGGACTGTTCCGGACAGTTGGTTGTGCGAGAGGTTGAGAGTGTCTAAGGCTTTGAATTTCCCGAGAAAGTCTGGTATTTTCCCGGTGAGAAAGTTGTGGCCTAGCTCAAGGAAGGTCAGCGTCGAAGCTAAGGTTGAGATGGAGGTGGGGATTTCTCCGGTGAACTTGTTGTGGGAGAGTGTGAGGTCTCGAAGCTTTGAGAATGTTGTGAAGAAGTTCGGTACGGGACCGGAAAGTTGATTCCCATCCAGAGCGAGGAAAGTGAGATTCTTCAGGTGTTGGATTTCGGATGGTACGGTTCCGGTGAGAAGATTCCCACCCAGTTTGAGCTGAGTCAACTGAGTTAACTTTGATATTGAACTCGGGATTGGCCCGGTAAAGCGATTCCTGGCTAGGCTTAGCGCGCCAAGTCGGGTTAAATTCCCAATGGATTTGGGGATTCGACCCGATAACTTGTTGCCCTCTATGTAGACGTATTCGATGTTGGGTAACCCGAAAAGAATATCCGGGAAAGGACCCGATAGCTCTCCGAGGTCCGTGAGATAGATCCCGTTTAAGAATTTGACCTTCGCCAGGGAAGGTGAGATTGTGCCAGATAAGTAGCTGTTTGGCTTGTTGGATTGGCCCGAGAGAGATATACTAGTGACCCGGTTGTCAACCCGGCAAATGATGCCTGCCCATGTGCAACAGTCGGTGCCCCGCTTCCATGAGGCGAGCTTGCCAGATGGGTCGGCCGTGATGGCTGCTTTGAAACTGAGTAAACCCGACTCGTCATCCACATGACAAGCGGCTGATTCGGCTTTCAGGCATAATTGGGTGAGTGTGGTGAGCATGAGGAGGAGGAGGATACGGCATTGAGGAGGAGAGAGTGAAAGATTTCTCATGTTTGCTGGTTTTGGATTCTGAAAATTATTGTTGGAATGCAGAATGGGCTATGCAAGGAACAAATAAATAAAAGGTAAGCGACAGGCTTTGGATGTTGTTATGACGTAATCACATGGCGGTGGTCCTAATCCTACATGTTACTCTTTAATTGGTTTGAGTTTTGACTGAATTTGGCATGAAATAGCTATATAGAGTCAACAAGTTGCCACATATATTTGATTTAGTCGTAAAGTGTGGGAGAGGAATTGATGAGCACCTGCTGGGGGTGGGTCCGGGTCAAGGCCGGCGGCTTAGCGATATATACACCTCTTCTTTAAATTTTATTATAGTAAAAAATTTTAAAAAATAATCATACTTAAATATTTTATTATAATAAAAAATTATCACATAAAATTATATTTTAATTTAAATTAATAAATTAAATAGGCATAAAAACACCAATAACACATAATTAGATCTGCCACCACCAAGCAATGAATTCTTCTATTCTTTTTTGCTGGCACTTATGGTTATGAGTATGATATCCCCCAAAAGCAGCCATTATGTTAATAAATTTTAATTAAATATTGAGTTAAAAGAGTAAAGAAGGTACACAAAAATAATGAGTCTTTGTTAATGGACTCATGATTAGCTCAGTTAAGTTATACTCACGAAAAGATTAGACTGTCAATTTCTCATATCTTTATTGTCGTTTTCTAATCCATATACCAAAAATAATAAATTACTTTCTTCTAATGCCAAGTTTTGCTCATATACCCCATATCGCTTATAATCTCGTATCAATATCTCATAACCCCATAAAAATAAAAAATGCATACTGTTTTGGTAGCTCCAAGCAGTCAATGCGCGAGTATTTTTTTATTTTTTATTTTATTTTTTGAGATAGGGGTACTTATGAGTGTTGTTAATTATCCATTTATTTTGTGATTGGAGTACATAGTACTCATATGATCAATTATTTTGGAGACAAGTTGGGCTTTTTCTTATTTTTTCTTCCCTTTCCTTTCCCCTTAGAATCATTGAATAGTAGCCAGTAGGGAAGTTATTATTCTCTATTGGTTATTTAAAAGAAGAAAAAGGAAAAAATGGAATAGTTTATAATTCTATTGCTAATTTGTAAGAAAATTAGGTTGCACGCCACAATGGTTTTATGTTTTTGGATTTACTTTTTCGGATTTACGATACGTATTAATCAAAGTTTTATCCTAATTCTCACGGGCTCTTAACACATATAGTAAAATTTAAATATAACAAAATTTTTAAAATTTATAAAAAGCAAGACTTGATATTATTAAATTTTTTTATTTTTGAAATATTTCAAAAATTTTACAAGGCCTGTTCAATTTACTAATTTGAGTTTTTAATTCGAGTTGAGATGTAATTTTATGTGATAGCTTTTTATTCTAATAAAAAAATTAAATATAACTGTTTATAAATTTTTTTTACTGTAATAAAATTTAAATCTGTAAAATGAACGAGCTCTAAATTTCAACTCACGCAAGTTATTATCTCAATTCTCACCCCACGGACAGAGAAAAAGACGGGCTGAAAGATTGATTGATTATTGGGCTAAACAAAAGAAGCTGTCGGCTGTTTATAATGGGCTTTCCGTGGTAAGGGTGGGTTCTTTGCCCAGAGGACCAATCGGCCCAACAAAAAGCAAACATCTCTACTTTCATCTCACCTAGTTGGCCCCACGCGTGTTTGAGTCATCCCACCTGTACAAATCAGTTGGATTCCCAAAAAAATTAGGATTACAAGTGTTTTCTATTAAATTTAGTTCTTTTTAATCTAATCACAAATTAATAATATAACATATAATGGAAGAAAATACACACTTATTAGATGACAATTTGGGGTTTACAAAAAGAATTGCATGATGTGTTGCACTTGAAATTTAGAATTTTTTTCACAGCCTAGTTGTTTTTGTAAAATCTCAAACAATTACACAAAAGTTTTGCCCCGAAATTTCAAATCCAGGGGTGGAGCTGCCTTGGGTTAAGGGCTCATTTTAAAGTTTTGCCACTTCCCATTATCCGCTTTCTCTGAAAATTTTGTTTGATTAACGCCACATTTGAAGAAAAAAATTACGTATAACACAATAAACCCCTGATTATTTTCATTAATATTTAAAAGCGTTTAGTTACTTTTTTTTTTTTCGAATGGAGTGTGTAGTCACTTTTAATAGTAGAATTAAATCTATGTGTATATATGTGTGTATAAGGGGACGTTTGGTTGGGGGATTCAAACTATGATTTGAATCATAGTTCATGGTTCACTACAGTGTTTTCTCTCACAAAAAATACACGTAAATAAAAAATAATTATAATCACATGATTCTAATCCATGAACCAAACGTCTCTTAAAAGTTTTACTGCTTGTTTTATAAAGAATTAAAATTAGATAACGTTTGATTCATGGATTAAAATCATGAGATTAGAACTATTTTTAATTTACGTGTATTTTTTGTGAGAGAAAACACTATAACAACTTATGAATTATGATTCGAATCAGGGTACGAATTCTCTTACCAAACGTCACAAATTGTTCTTAGAAACACACCAACAAATTCACAATACCCACCTTCTTATGAGTTATGAGAACACGTTATAAAAGGAATCGGTAAACCTACAATACATCTCATTTTTGAGCCACATAAGGAAAAACTGACCTAACTAGTAAAAAAATTGAACTTGTTTTTAACTCTCATTTAAGCAGCAATAGAATAAGGTTTAACCGAGTTTAAATACATTAATAAGTAAAACAGAATTATACAAATTGTCATGTATTAACCGAGGAAAGAGAGCTGTTTGGACGTGGGAGGGAGGAAGCAGCAGAACAGTTTCTGATCTGAAGACTCAGAAACCAACCAAAAAAAAAAGGACCTTCAATTTTCCCCAGCTTCTTCTTCTTCATCTTCCCCAACAAAAAACCCTAGAATTCCCAATCCCACGCCCATATTCATAAATTCATTATATTCATTTTCACATAAACAATCAATTCATTTCTTCTTCCACCGAATTGAATTGAATCGAATCGAATCGCCCACATTCCGATTCTAAAGATGTCTCTGAACATGAAATCCATAACCCAAGCCCTAGCGAAGACCGCCGCCGTGATCGAGAAGACCGTCCAGACCACCGTCCAGGAGGTGGCGGGCCCCAGGCCTCTCCAGGACTATGAACTCCTCGACCAGATCGGCTCCGCCGGCCCCGGCCTCGTCTGGAAGCTCTACTCGGCCAAGGCCGCGCGTGAATCCACTCGCGCCCACAACCAGTACCTCACCGTCTGCGTCTGGGTGCTCGACAAGAAGACCCTGTCCGAAGCGCGCGCACGCGCTGGCCTGTCGAAGGCGGCAGAGGACGCATTTCTGGACGTCGTGAGGGCGGACGCCGGGCGGCTCGTGAGGCTCCGCCACCCCGGCGTGGTCCACGTGGTGCAGGCGCTGGACGAGAACAAGAACGCCATGGCCATGGTCACTGAGCCGCTTTTCGCGTCGGTTGCGAATGCGCTTGGGAATGTGGAGAACATTGCCAAGGTGCCTAAGGAGCTCAAGGGGATGGTACGTAAACCTTGAACTGGAATTTTGTTGATTGTGTATTTGGAGGAGAGGATCAAGGTGTGATTTTTTTTTGAATGTTCATGAGAATTTATTTGATTATTATGCTTTTTCAATGTTGGAATTGGAATTAGAATGGACTATGAGGGTACATTTCATTTTCATGAGCTAGAAGCTATGATAGATGAAATCTGAAAAACATTCTGAAACATAACTGAACGTTTTCCTTCTACGTTATTTATGGAAAAAAGACCATCCCAAATTTGAATCCCCAAGCCTAAAGCATTATTTATAGATTGACTCGACACTAGACAAATCAATCTTAGTCTCACTAGGATTTCTATTAGGTAGTTGAAAATCCTGATATCAATCAACAACAGATAGTATAAAGTCCTAAATTTGAATCCCCAAGCCTAAAGCATTATTCATAGATTGACTCGACACTAGAGAAATCAATCTTAGTCTCACTAGGATTTCTATTAGATAGTTGAAAATCCTGATATCAATCAACAACAGATAGTATAAAGTCCTAATATAAAATGCTCAAACTTAGTATAGATTACGAATTCCCTAATTTCACTAAGCCTGCCCTACATTATGCTGTTACTTATTTGGGAACTTCTATGGTTTTCTATTTACATTGTTATGGCTCTAACTTAGTTGGGCACTTGGACTAAGTATTTTCTCTCTAACGTTGTGTTTTAGATGTTATCTTTCTTTAATCCGTGAAAATTATGCTTTCAAGACTGGTATTGTTTAGTAACAGCCTTTTTTTAAGCCAATATAGCCTCTTCTGTGTTTGTTATTACAGTTGCCGGTTATCTTTTGGCATCTGTAGCATTTTGAAAGTGTTTTATTTGCAGGAGATGGGACTGTTGGAGGTGAAGCATGGTTTGCTCCAGATAGCAGAATCTTTGGAGTTTCTACATAGTAATGCTCGGCTTATACATCGAGCAATAGCACCCGAGGTTAGAACTTGATCATTTTTATTAAGATTTAGTAATGAAAGTGTTAAGTTGAATACCTGCATGACATACATGTGATATGTAAGTTTCATAACTCACGGTAAACTTGCAATGCTGATACATTGGATCAGAATTTTTTTGTTGTCTTGATGTGATCTTGTGTTAAATCAGTTGCTTTTATTTCTTAATCTGCTTCTGACTGCAACCAAGTTATGCAGTTTTCGCATACCACCTTATTTTCTTCATGCTATCATGTTATTTGTAATGAGATGAAAAGCTAAGAGATCCTATAGTATTTTCCTTTGAATGTTGGAATGAATTTGTTATTCTTTATGCTTTCCAGAATGTTCTTATTACATCAAGTGGAGCTTGGAAGCTTGCTGGATTTGGTTTTGCTGTATCCACAGATCAGGCCACATCTGACACGGCTAATTTGCAGCCTTTCCATTATGCGGTGAGTGGACCTCTATTGCGAATTGAATGAGGAATTTTCAATTCAATCTTACCTACCTTTTGCTTAATGCTGATAGATCCGAACTCTCAGATTCCTTTATTTCAGCATCAACTTTGGAGTTAGGTTAGGCTATGGAATTGTCTAACTATAATAACACGAGGTCCATAATTTCTTGTGGCCTTATGATGTTATATTTTGTTAATGTTGACTTTCAAATGTGTGTTGCTTTATTTCAAATTATGCCCTCTTCTTTTCATCTCTAATTTATTTAGATTACGCATCCAAGAATGAACCTTTAACAGCTGTTCTTATATAATGTGACAAAAATTTTACAGGAATATGATGTTGAGGATTCTATACTGCCACTTCAGCCATCATTGAACTACACTGCTCCAGAACTTGTTAGAAGGAAATCGGCTTCAGCTGGATGTCCATCTGATATTTTCAGTTTTGGATGCCTTGCCTACCACTCGATTGCTCGCAAATCTTTATTTGATTGCCACAATAATTTCAAAATGGTGAGCTAATTTACATATCTGATAAATTGATTATAGCTAATTTTCTCTTTGTATCCGGTTATAGCTACTGTCCCCATTGTGCACCTCGTGTAGGATGCTATTAGAACTAGTGTGATTTCAGATCCTTCATTGCAGTTTAGTGGTTTTTCGTGATTGATCTTGAGATTTCTCTGTTTTTATTTACACTACTTTAAATTCTCAGCGGCATTTCCTCATCCTTTGTTCTCTGGTTATTTTGTAAATGTTGCTCTTATAGATTGACTTACTTTATTTTATTTGTTGATTCAATATTAATGTCAATTCTTTTGTTCCTTTTCTGTAGTACATGAACACCTTAACTTACTTATCCAGTGAAACATTTTCCTGTATTCCATCGGAGTTGGTTCCTGACTTGCAAAGGATGCTTTCTGCAAATGAGGCTTCCAGGCCAACTGCAATAGATTTTACAGGTAAAATGTCAACATTGTGATAAGGTTTAAAATTGCGCAATTGGGTATAGAGGTGTTTTGTCTTTGTGAGTCGAAGCGTAACTCTCAAAGTGCTTTGAGGTGTAAGCCTCAAAATAAACCATAAAATAATTCAAAAATATGCAAAATTAAGCAATTTAAAGTAAAAGTTATAAATCATACATAACATCATAAAAAAAAAATTATATTAATACTAAACTAAAATTACTATATCTAAAAATAATTATTCTTGATTTTTCTTTTCTCCCTCTTATTTTTAGCAATCTAGGGGCTTTGTTTTAAATCTGCACCCTCGCCTCTTGGTCATAGCAAAGTTATTCTTCTAGACTTCTTTACATTTTTGTTTCTTATTGGGCTGCTTTTGGCTGATATGAGTTTGGGCCTGGGCCTCTATATTAATTTCAGCTTGAAACAGTGAAAAAAGTGAAGGCCACCGCCTTGAGGCGGCCTTGAAGCGCCAATTCACCTACAGTGAGGCGTAAGCCTCTTTCTTGCTTCATGAGGCGTACGCCTCAACGCTTTTTTTCAGCCCCTTTGGAGAGGCGCGCCTCCCGTTTCACAATTTTAATCACTACATTGTGAACATTGTTGAATATCTTTCAAATATACAGACAGAGACCAGAAAAATGTTGTATTAATTCTATCTTTAATTGATCTCTGCAGGTTCTCGATTTTTTCTGAATGATACTAGGTTGCGTGCTCTTCGCTTCCTCGACCATATGCTTGTATGTGTTTGTGTAACTTGAGTAATGTACACAGTACATCCTTTTGTTGGTCAACCCATGGAGCACAATGCTAAAGTAAAAATAAGAATGATGACATAGGTTGAGTGATAAATATTTATTACTTGCAGGAAAGAGATAACATGCAGAAGTCTGAGTTTTTGAAAGCATTATCAGATATGTGGAAAGATTTTGATTCTCGTGTCTTGCGGTATAAGGTTGGAATTCTTTCAACATTTCTTCATTTTATTTCTCATTTTTGTAGAATACAGTTATAGTTTTAAATATGTGTTGGGTAAATCGTCCGTGATCAAGGACAGAAAAAGAAAACACACTCACTCACTCACACAATTAGGAAAAAATCTTCAGTGACAAGCGAATGCAACCCATGATTATCTGTTAGAGTTTCATTTTTTTTCCCCTTTTCTGAATGCACAAAATATTACTGTTTTGATCCCTTTTTTTCCCCCCTTATTATTATCAAATTTCAAGTATCAAATGAACTTATTTAACTTTGCTTCCATCATTTATTGTGCAGGTACTTCCGCCCCTTTGCGCAGAACTTAGGAATTTGGTAATGCAACCCATGATTCTACCAATGGTTCTCACCATAGCAGAGGCTCAGGTACTAATGGCTTTATTGCTGACTGGCATAAGCATTTTGATAGTTGTGATAACATGAAGCTGTGAAATGCAATTTCATTCTAGGTTTCATAATTGATATTAAAAGGTTTGAGGTTAATTCCTGAATGATGTTTTAAAATCACTGTAGGATAAAAATGATTTTGAGCTATCAACACTACCGGCTCTTGTTCCTGTTCTGAGTACTGCAGTGGGTGAGACACTGTTGCTTCTAGTTAAGCATGCAGAACTTATAATCAACAAGGTAATGGAAGCATTATGGTGTTCTTCTCGGCTCTGTTCATTCACTTTACTTTATCACGCTCTTATTCTGTTTTTCATTGATGTAGACTAATCAGGAGCACTTGATATCACACGTCTTGCCCATGATCGTTCGGGCTTATGATGACAATGATGCTCGCATACAGGAGGAAGTTCTGAGAAAGTCTGCTTTCCTTGCTAAGCAACTGGATGTTCAGGTGACTGTTATTTACATTATACTTGGAAGTTTCTTCCATCGTTTTCTTCCTTTTGACTGACCAGCATATTACAGGAGACCCTAATTTTACTGATATTTATATTTCTTTCCCAGCTAGTAAAACAAGCAATATTACCTCGTGTGCATGGATTGGCTCTTAAAACAACAGTTGCAGCGGTATGTTTGTCTACTGAATCTCCTGGCGATTTTACTTTTCTGTTATTGTTATCAGCATCACAAGTGCTTGTGTCTTAGTCATTTTTTACATGTTCCACGCAACAACCTATTGGATATTATCAAGTTGTGATTTGATTATGCTATATTCAAAATGAAAACATATTCTTGTGTTATTGGCTCAAGTGGATGTTGGTTATCCAATGTATGCATATGAGGTATAGCTGAGTTAGTTGGCTCAAGTGAAAGCCAGCTTATTTCATAGGGTCTTGTGGTGAGTCGAATGTTTTCCCTATGAATTAGTGTATTCTCCTCATGAATTTCCACGAGTGGTTTCACCAAAATCTAAGGTTTTAATTTGAGCTCCCTCCTTTGGCAGGTAAGAGTCAATGCATTGTTATGTTTGGGAGATTTGGTTTCTACGCTTGATAAACATGCTGTTCTGGAGGTCTTGCAAACTATTCATCGTTGTACAGCAGTTGACCGTTCTGCTCCTACCCTTATGTGCACTCTTGGGGTTGCAAGCACAATTCTTAAGCAGGTAACAGTTCCGACCATGACGCAATCTTTGAGTGTATTTGGCTGTAGTTGATTATTTATAATTGACCAAAATTTCCATGTGAATTCTTCTTGAATAGTATGGAGTCGAATTTACTGCGGAGCATGTACTTCCATTACTCACGCCTCTTCTCACTGCCCAACAACTAAATGTTCAGCAGTTTGCCAAATATATGCTCTTTGTCAAGGATATCCTCAGGTATCAATGTGTTGCACCTGTATTTGTGGTTGTGATCACTAGTCTACTTGCTTTCATTCATGCACCCAGGAAATATTTTTCAACTTCTCAGTCCTTTACTTTGGATGTTAATTGCTCAAACTACCTTATCTTTCGCTTCATGGCAGGAAGATAGAAGAAAAACGAGGAGTTACCGTGACAGATTCGGGAATTCCTGAGGTTAAATCATCTCCTCTTGCAAATGGGCTACAGTCCCAATCCTCAAGCAGAACTACGGGAAACACTACTTCCACGACAAAGAAAACTCCTGCATGGGATGAAGATTGGGGTCCCGCTCCAAAACAATCTTCTCCTTCCGTCCAAAATTCTGTGAACAGTATCATCAGCTCCACTCTGCCTATGGGAATTGAATCGGTTTTCGTAACTTCACAACCGTCCCAATCCTTGCTGATTTCTACGGTTTCTAACCATCAACCACCCTCATCATGTCCTCCAGTTGATATAGAGTGGCCTCCTCGCCAATCTTCTGGGGCTACCCCTCAAATTGGTGATTCTGAAAAGCAATTGAACATGGGTGCATCGTCCAATTCAAATTTCGATGATATAGATCCTTTTGCCAATTGGCCCCCTCGGCCTAGTGGCTCAGCAAGTGGTATTGGGGCTTCTAACAATGGCATTACTGGGTTGTCAATGACAAAATATGGTTCCAGTTCAATCTCAAATACATCAAACAGCATGAATTCCCAGAGCAACAACAGCACTAGTTGGGCCTTCAACGCTCTAAGTTCTGCTGAACCGATGAGACAGAATCAAGGCAATTCCGTGGCCACCGGTAGTTTGGGGAGTCTTAATTCGCAAAAGGGGATGACTGCATCAAACACTTACACTGAGAAGAAAGCGACAGATATCGGGTCCATTTTTGCTTCCAGCAAGAATGAGCAGACGGCACCTAGGCTTGCTCCTCCCCCATCAACTGCTGTGGGCAGGGGAAGAGGAAGAGGAAGGGGGGTTGTCGCGGCCTCTCGGTCTAGCCAAGTCAAATCACCATCAGAACAGCCACCCCTTTTAGATCTCCTATAATAGGCTGATTGCACCATCTTATCATTTTGTATGTAAAGAGAAAAAGAAAACAGAGAACAAGAGATTTTGGGATCAGCCCTTGTTGTGCAACAATCCGGTACCATATGGAGATTGATTTTGTAAAATATACTGAGGTCATCGGTTACATATTTTGTACTTTCTAGCCTGGGCAACTGCAGCATCTCTGGGGTTGGCAATGATGTGTTGTGAAAATGGTTTGTTTTTCTTCTCATGTAGCTTATTGTGACTTGTCCCATACAGTTTTTGCATTTAATTGCTTCCCTTCTCCCCTCTTCTAAATTTCATGTTTAATCAGTACAATTTTGATGTTTAAAACATATTCTTGTAATACTGTATTATTAGAGACTGTCCTAGTTGCCACAACTGGGCATAGAAATAATAAAAGTTTGAAGTTGGCCAACTGTTGCAGAAAATCTATTCAATAGGTATTAAGTTTCAGTTCTTTGATTTGCTGTCAAGTGCAAAACTTTGTTGTGTATCAAAAGCTTTTTTGGTGCAAAATTTTACACCAAGATATATGAGTTGTACTAGAAATGATGGCTGTATGGATTTTACTCTCTTATGTGTTTTCTCATTTGGAATAATTCTAGGTTTATCCAATTAATAACGAGCTTTTCTATTCTGGTGAAGAATAGTATGGACGAATTTTGATATAAAGCTGTTGAAAAACACCGAGCTTTGTCATTCTGTTGCACAAAATGAAATTACATCTTCTTTCACAATCTATGGTTAATCCTAAGCTCCTCATCTAATCTCTGGCATCCTGATTTCATTTATTTCTATAAAGCAGTAGTAAAATGCTTCAGAACATTATGCATGTTCAAGCGCAGTCATCTTCCTAGACTGTTGAGAAATAACAGCAGCGGCTGATGGATTCTGAGACAGAACAATCTCGTAGCCATCATAGTATGAATCCATGCCTTGTGCCATGATTTGCCAAACCAATCCACCACCAATCCCTCCCCCACTTCTTGCCAACTCATATATCTTGGTGTAAAGCGTGTACAAGAAGGCGTCCCTAGCGCTCTCACTGTATCCCGGGTCTTTCTTCGATTTCCCAAATTCGGAGAAAACCAGAGGCTTCTTCAGAATCGTCCTTGAGTCCGTCCAGTGAGTTGTCAGCCATTTCTGCACAAACGCCATCTGCAAGTTGTCATTCTGTCCAGAGAGCCTAAGCCAAGAAATTTTTTTCAGCACAATGGATAAGATAAAAGATTTTTATTAAGTCCATTGGTACGTGTAATTAATCGGATGTTTAAATGGATTAATAAAGATAATCATACCAGATGTCAGGATATGCATGGATGGTTGTGAAATCGATTTCCTTAATCTGATTGTTGGTGATGAAGTCTGTGCCGACTTGGTAGCCAGGATTGTACTGCTTTCTGTCCGGAATGGAGTCCCCATAGAAACCCTCCATGCCTACTTCCAACAGGTGCTTGTTGTCCATTGATTTCACATAGCTTGCCATCTCTTGAACCCATCCCTGTATATTGTTGTTACTTAACTAATTAAATCAAATGTATTCCTAGATATTGGTTAAATTACAATTTTTTGTTGTTGTTGAGAAAATATGTTATTTATCGCAAAAATTAGTGATGCAATAATCATCATATGAGTAGTGGTATATTAAAACTATCACATAACATACTAGGATCCAATTTTTTCTCTATGTACCAAATGATATTTCTCTTTAATTTACTGACATGCAATGATGATGCATTAGTAACGGCGATGAATAGCGGTACTCATATTTATAAAGTATATATGAGGGCTCACATTGACAGTCTTGCCAGAGTAATCAGCTTGGCAGCGGGGCTCATTCATGAGTTCCCAAGCCATGATGGTGGAGTCATCTTTGTAAGCTATGCGAGTGAATGTGTTGATCCTTGTTAGCACTTTCTGCAATATAATATCCATAACAGAGAATTAATTATTATAACCACATTAACTAACTTCAAGTACTAAGAAAAAAAAAAAAAAAAAACATGCTATCATATATAGTTGTACTTTTTTTTTTCTTTCCTTGGCCAAAAAGAAAAAGAAAAAAAAAAAAAAAAGAGGTACCTTGACATGGTTCTTGTAGTAGGACTTGACAACTGCATTGGTGTAGAAGTCATCTTCACCACTAACGGGCACGCCAGCATTTCTGGCCCACTGCACGTATTGAGCCTTTCCTCCATAGTCTTCGTAATTGTTGCTCAAACTCAGTATCAGTTTCACCCCATATTTTCTTGCCTCCGATATCACAAAATCAAGCCCCTGAATAATAGTCAATTATAAAATATATTTAGCAAAATAGTTTCAGACTATATATACCAGCTTCCTATTTGCAGTACACAAATTACTGAACAGTTTAAATGAAATTGAAATAAGTTAACATGACAGCTGAAATAAGACTTGGAGACAAAAGGAAAAAAAAAAAATCTAAATATGTTATGCCACATATTTAATTTGTTACCTTGTTAACAATTAAAAAAAAAAAAAAAACGCTTGGGGTACAAGTACTAATCGGATCCACAAATGAAGCCCCATATTTTTTATTAAATGTGGTGTTTAATATCGGTAATGCCTCTAAATATATTTTTTTCTCAATATTATACATCTACATTTGACATACCACAACAAATAGACAAAGCAACAAGTAATAATACGACATATGTGTATAGGATAGGATTGAAAATAACCTGAAAGACAGCCTCATTGTAAAGTCTGGGAGACATTTGGAGAGCTCGGTCACCTCCATCGCTGAATGCCCATGTCCTGCAGACAGTGAGGCCTGCGGCAGCAGCCTCCCTGAAGACGTCGGAGATCTTGGACCTCTGGCTCGGCTGCGATGCCACAGTCATCATCCAATAGGAGTTGAATCCATTGAACAAGAATGGAGAACCATCTACTATAAACCCGGTGCCTCTTGTTTCAACAAATCCTGAACTAACCACTACTTGTCCTTCACAAACTAAACCCACAACAAGAAGGAGAAAAATTACTTTGCAAACACAAGTAGCACTTTTCATCGTGTTTAATTTGTTATACAAGCAATAATGTAGTAATAATAATAAATTGAGGAATTTTTTGGATGAAGAATGTGAGAAATATGTTGTGGGGGTTCAGGCTATATATAGAGAGGAGAAATTAGTGAGAATTGAAGATGTGTGAATTACTAAGGTGATATTTATTATTTATGATGAGGTGTAACAGAAATTCTTGAAGGTGACGAGTTGTGAAGGAAGTTCGGTTACAAAAGTATTAAACAAATGAAGTAGGAGGCCTAACTGCTGATAGTTTTTTTCCTTTTTTTTTATTTTATTTTAATGAAATGGACCAAACCCCAACGCAATACAATATTACCATATTAATTAGTATTACTTGGTAAGCATGCATGACCTGACAGTTCTGACACTGTGTATATTAGGCCCAAGTTTCCTCTTTCAAACAGTACGTGTGTTTTTAGGAGTTTCAGACCTCTGTGTTTATGATACATATATACATGAAAACCCAAATTTTGTGTGTAGATAATAGATATAGTCGCTAATAACTTTTTTTTTTTTTTTTTTTTTTTTGGAATCTGACTGTTCGCAAATGTAGAATTGATACAGCTAGCTGATAAACATTAAAAAAGAAAATTAATGTTGATTTTTATTTTATTATTATTATTATTAATTGCTATGCTTGTAACACTTGATGTAAAGTAATAACAATTAAGAGCGAATTCATATGAACCACTGGTCTATATAGGAATTTGAAAATCTTCAACAACGCTTTAAAAACAACAACAAATTAAGTAGTAACAGGTGCTGTCTTTCGAATATATATGTCAAAGATTTCTCTTAAATATATAATATTATGCAGATTATATAATGGGATCGAGTAATATTAACGAGTTAAATCATATGTTTCCAAATGTTGATAAAAGGAAGCCGCCGATCGAGAGCAGGAGGAGAGCAGATTGTTACTTGAGCGCAAGGAATTAAATGACAGGCAAGATATATATATATGTATGTATCATGTCTAGTGGTGATAATTTATAATATGTAATAAGAACACATATTATATATTATGTGATAACAGTGATGATGATGATGATAAGTTATCGCATCGAGGAAATTAGGGAGAGAATTTAATTAAATATTTAATTTTGTGTCTGAATGCAAGACGTATCTAGTTTGCGTTTCAGAAACGATGACGTATGTTACCAAATCATGTGGCCAACCGGCTGGTTGTTTAGGCTGATGTTAACCACCATGCACGCACGCGTTCTTATACAACATGGAAAGTACATATATATACACCCGGAAATTAGTAACAATAATAAATTGTGTTATATATAGGATATATGATATAAGATTTATATTTATTACATGATCATAACTCTATGTAAACGGTATATATATGGACGAGGAAATTAATGAACGTGCATGTTACATCATCAGCTCAGAAAGTCATGTGGGGAATGAGAATCTGTTTTTGGGACGGAGAGGGAAAAAGTGGGCGGCGAGACTGCTGAGGTTACGGCGTTAATAGAAATAAATATTGGATTTGGGTGTCAGACGAAAAGTAAAAGACTATTTATAGATGTCGTCATTAAACGACTCAGTAACTGAAAGTCTGAAACTACTGAGTTTTGTTGAAGCCGCTAATATTATGTCCTGTCCACCTATCCTCCTATCCTCTATAACATAATATCTCTTTTGTAAATTGTAGTAATTTTTGCATTCCATTCTGACATCATCACAAACTAACAGAAAACATCATGACCACTCCCTGTTGCCGGTTCTCACCGCCGCCAAAGCATCGCGGGCCTTGGCCCATATGGCTACTTGACTGACCATGAGACCTAATATTGGGCAAACTGTAACTGGCTTGCCTAGTAATTGAACACTGTTTCCCTAGTATGGCCTTTCTTGGACAATTGAGGCTGTGTGGAATGGTAGGCCCAAGAAATAATTCAAATCTCTTGCCAAGTTTTGGGGCGGATTAGACGAAGATGAAGAATTAAAATGCAAACGGGTTAGTTTTTGTACAACAAGAATTTTTTTAAGAGAAATTTGCTGAAGTTACACTCTAAGAGTGTATTAATCTAAATTTTTACCATTTATTCTTAATTAATACCCTTTTAGTAATATAGTTATTTGATCAAAAAAGAAAAATCTATACCCCCTACATTTTTAAGGGGTGTTTGTCTAATTTTACCTTTTTTAAAAACCTATTTCTGACAGATAAATAACTATACTAGTATATAACCTAATTTATACTTAGTTTGCTATCTTGATCTAAACTAAAGTTACATTATTATGAGATTATATAGGGAAACTATGGAAGATTATTATTGTCGTCCAATATTACTGTTCAAAAAAGTGAGTCTCATATTAGGTCCATTTATCTTTTTTTTTTTATATAGGAAATAATATAGTGAATTAGAGAAATACCATTTTTATAGAGTGGTGTTTGAATAAATCATTCTTATGAAAAGATTTAAGCCTGATTTAGGCAGGGAGTAGCCAGCACTATGAGGGCCTAATGAAATTATCAAATTCACAAGTCACACACTGTATTTTAATTTCTAATCTTAAGATGATCATGTTAGCATACATGTATATGCTAGCTCAATTTCAGCGGAAACTTTTCTTGCGCAAAACTGAAACTATTTTATTTTATTAAAGAAAAAGTTAACAAGGAAAAGATATAACGAAAAGAATTCGGACTTGTACACGAACTATAGTTTGGACAAGTCCATGTACCAAAAGTTTATTTAATTTGGACTTTCATCTTAAGCAATAGCACTGGATATTATTGCTACTGATGAAGATCACTTTTGCGTAATGACAATACGTGGCCCGCAAAATCTGAGATTCTTGTAATACCGAGACAACTTTAAGGCAGTATGAAGTCACGTACTATTTATTATTATTATTATTATTATTATTATTATTATTATTATTTCATTATTGGCATATTAATTTCTGAATTTGAGTAATTGGTATTGTTAGTCCTGAATTTTGAGCATAATGACATTTTGAATATTCTTAAATTTTAAACTAGTATGAGGTGATGTACTACTCCATTAAATTGACAAATAATTTCTGAAATTTAACAACGATAATCTTGTGTTTATCGCATGCTAAATACAATTTTTACAGAAAGGAAAGGTAGCGTTATATTCAAAATTTATACTCTTTGTTATTTCAAAAACCTATTGAAAACTATAACATTTTGCACTAATTGAATCTATTTGTGTAAAATTTGCAGTTTTTATGTGATAAGGATGTGATTATCTGTGTTAAATTTTATAAAATATCATCTATCAATTTTAATGTCAAGGATCAAAACTATCAAAAATTAAAAATTCAGGACTAATATTCTAAAATTAAAATTTCAAACACCAAAATATCATATATTCAAATTTCAGAAACTAATCGTGCCCATAATCAATAAATAGAAGAAAGAGATCATTAGTGGCATCCTGTCTCTTTTGTCATAGCAAAGTTTAAGGGCCCTCTATTGAGGCTGATGACAAATATTTCTTTCTTCAAAGAAAATTAGGTAGGAAATCCATCTATTTAACCCACGTTAATTTTGTGCTATTTTAACAGAATTTTGCGCTTCTTAAGTTTATAAGAGAAAGGTAATATAGAAATCTATAATCTATAAGAGCATAAATATTTCTACCACTTACTAGGAGGGACATTCTTCTAGATCTCCTTTATCCCCTTTATAAGAAAGCACGTAGCCTCGAATAAGGGCAACATTTTCTTGTGCTACATAGCTCGTGTTCATCCGTTTATTCCCTTAATTTCCAGCACAAAAAAATTTACGAGATCAGAGTCAAAAGTCCAAAATTTGACAAAGAAAAAAAAAAAAAAAAGAGCACATATAACAAGTTGGGATTATAGGTTGGCATTCGTGAAACTATCAAATGAAACGTAGTAATTAAACCAAGAAATAAGCTGCATGCATGGAATTAGGCCGCCATCAAGAATTAAACCTCATATGGACAACTTACCTGGCAACTGCCAAGCAATATATGTCGTTCATAGTACTTAAGGTATATCGTAAACCTGTATGTTTTGGAGTAAATGGCAAGCTTAGCAATTATTGCAAGCTTAGGATAATTTATAAAAATCAGAATGCATTGCATCAAAAGACGTAAATTTACTTCAAGCTTTGGAAGTGATTGTTACTTCAATGCTACCTATATCTTTATGAACAAATATACGGATCAAAACTTTCAAAGCCTTCAAAATGAAACAAGGAGCCTAGTTATAAGGAAAGATTTATGGACTACTAAAAAAACTAACCAAAGATTTTTTTTAATTACTTTTTATCCTTTAAGAATCAACTAACCAAAGATATTCTACGGTAGCTCTCATATAGGACTTGGGAGAATATACAAGTGTAGTATGAGGGACACCAATTTTAATATCATTTTATGTACCAACTTTAGCTGTTATCTTTTCATTGATAAATGCAATCTTTTATTATAAATTGATGCAACAAGTTTTTAAACAATTACTAATAAAATAATGATAACTAATGGTACAATAATCTGGATTAGAGTTGGTTTAACATTATTCATATAAGAATATGTACTCTAATGATGACTACCCCTTTATACTTTGTAATTAATAGGTTAGTTTTCCCCTAAGCAAAGCTATCCAATCCTGGTTTTCGTATGCTATAAAAAGTTTTGTGACAGGATTTTTTGACCTCCTTGTTTGACGCGGCCTCTTAGCTAGGGTTTAAGAAAAAAAAGTGGCTATGTTAATTAGTAATTTGTTCGTATAAGAATTAAATAAGTGAAACATGATATAATGATTTTGTTGGTGCATTTGTCTCGCATGATCCAAGCTTTTTGGAGCTACGCATATGATAGAGTTTCAAGAATCCATGAGATATCTTTTGATCAATGTGCATGGCATTTTATATCAATAGATGATTGAGTCTCCTCACATTTAACCTGCAAAGCGCAATAAATAAAAGTTATTATTCATATAAGTATTTAACTAAAAAAATATTA